CTAATTGTCTTTTCAATAGAGAAGCGTGTACAGAGAAGATTCTTACTGGTCTTCTAACGGTTTATTAACTTTGTTTAAACTTTTCTTTAGCAAGCAATCGCGAGCCTTCGATGCTTACAATGCTAACCTGACTACTTGAAAATATTGTTCTCAAAGTTCAATTTTTTTTTCTCCACCTTACCATTTGCATACATTAATCCAGGAAAATGCAACTACAATAATGCGAATCAAGTTGGTGACGACTGTAAGTGGCATACAATGCTTGGTATTCTGTGACTTTTATTGTTCAACCTACATATTTACAATTACTTCAAAAAAGGCACCAGGCACTTGAATTATTTTTTTGCCAAATACAATCACAGTGATTGACAAGAAATGACAAAGTAATTTTAGAGGAGACAATTCGTAAATACAATCAGTTTTAGTGTCAGATTGGGAAAATACAAGCTGCTGAATGCGCACACTGAGTGAAATTCACAGACAGTAAATACAAACTGAAATATCTGAGACAATGCACAGCAGAATAAACATGAAGAAGAAAGTGGAAGCCAGTGATTAAGTCCAAAAAATTTCAATTGGTAGAATTACCACTGTTGAAGACACAGTCAAAAATATCTCTCGCTTATTTAACTACGTTCAAAACTTTGTATAGCAAATTACTGTCTTCCTCCAGCGGCCTCTCTTTAAAATAAGTTAGAGTAAGATTCCTCTGATTCCTCTGTAGTGTAAGTCTGCCTTTCTCGCGTGCTACTGCAGCGACTTAGGTGTTGCATTTGTTGCATTTCTTTGACAAATTAAACGCCTTGTATAATCTTTTTCACATCTCGCATCGTCAACCCACCATTTTCTGATATTCGGTACAATTTTTACAACCCCGTTGTTCTCATATAAGAACTGGCATAATTCACAACCCGCACGCGCTGTCCTTACCTTCCATTGCTTCATCCATTGGAAGTATCTAAAAAACACATATGGTAGCGCAAAGCTAAAACATCTGAGACTGAGTAAAAAAGATTAAATAGCCGTCTTATTTTAAAACTTACTGCTTAAAGGTTTGGTGCTCTTTTCCACAAAAACTACATTGACTCGGAATATCGTTTCTAATTACAAATGTCTATAAACTATAATGAACAGTGCACAGAAATGTATTTTCTGCTTTGGGACCACTAGGCTTCTTCAATAAGAATAGTTTCAAAAACCACTGAACAAGAACGTGGCAATTCAGCGCGGTATTACTGACGCCACAGCAAGTGTCTCTTTATGGAATTTTGACCAAACACACGGGTGAACTGCAACGTCTCTCAGGTAGCCTCTACCCAATGAAAAAGGTAAATAGTGGAGAATTGGTACAGCCAAAATTCTCTAAGACACTTCCCAAAAAAATCTTGTTCGCTCAACGCCAGTACTAATATTCTTTCATTCTTGTGACTGCAACTTCTGCCTGTGATAACTCTCACAACTGTATATTCATAATTGCGTTGAGTGAAAAGTTACTACCAAAAAACGGATAAGCAATAGTTCAGTATAAGTGAAATCAAACGACTAAGAAAAGTGAATTTAGACAAGTATCTGTTCTGAAAACTTAATTTTAAAGTTTAATTCTTTGCCATGAAGAAGAGTAAAAATGGTAGAAAAAGAAAAAAGACAAAAGTTTTTGCCAAAGTCAAGAAAAGCGATAACCAATCTGTTTAAACGCCTGATATTGAAGATTAAAAATTCAAAAAATGCTAGAATTTGTTTTTAGTAGAAAAATGGCAATCCTATTGTAAAAAAGAGGATTATTATACTGCAAACAGATTCTGTCTCAAGCAAAAAAATAACACACTTGGAGAAAGCAGTAAAATTCCGGCTCAAAAATTTTAAGTGATTTGCCAGATCTTTAGGACATTTAAAATCGTCTGCAGCAATAAAAGCATCGTCCGGAACTATTCCCGCATACGCAGCTCTTTTCAGCACAATCGGTAGCAGCTTTCCGAGTCGACAGAATAGCTTTTCTGTTATATAGTCTCGGCAAATACTGTTCTCAAAAGACAAATAAAATTTGTGATCTTCTAAAAAGAAATATTCTTGTTTAGTCTCAGATTTATGTACAGAAACATTTTAAAGAGCCCAAAAGCGGTCAATATGGTACTGGTTTGATATTAGAGTAAATTCTACCCGTTGTCCAACTTCGGAATTGTAATTTTAAGCGTTGGTATGACAGTAAAAAAACCATGCGTCATACTCTCAGTTAATAGTACTTTTCTTACATTTAATTTAGCAGTTTTTTTAAAGGGTTGGCAAAACTGAATGATCTTCATACCAACAGCTTTTCTTTCACAATGTGATGAGCATTTTTTTCCGGTGCAAATTCCAAGTTGCGTAACATTAATATATTGCTTCAACTGCTTAGTATATATTTCTCGACGAGATGGTGTTCTACAATTAGATACGAATTGCAAAACAAAGTTTGGACGTTGAAATATCTTCTGTGCAATCTGAAAAAGTTCATTCGTGTTTTTTGAATTTTTAACAGTTTCTGTGAAAAATTTTGAATCTTTGACTAGTTTTATTGCTATTCTGAAATCCTTTCAATTGCCTAATAATTTAATTGCTTTACACTCTTCTTAATGAAACTACTTTTGTTAGAGACTACTCACTACTTATGCGGGGCTAAATAACTTTCCTTTAGAACTTTGCTACAGTAGTTCGCTTTAGTATTTTTATTACTGATTGATTTGGAATGACTTTATTTGAAGTTTATGTCTACCAGTACAAATTAAGTTTTTGTGTTCTAAATTTCTCGAGACAACATATTCTGCAAGCTCCTTATGACAAGCATATCTGTGACCAAAACTTATTCAGTTTGGTGGTGGTTTTATTTATTCTTCAGTCGCTGAAGACAACAGTTTTTAATTGCAGTAAATAAGGGTGTTTTCAGTCATAACCAATAAGAAAAACGAAGCTATAAAAATGGAACAAAACTCTATAATCTTGCATGTTAAATCGAATTATTTGAGCAGTTTAGTGTCAGTAACTTTTGTCGTTCCTATACAGTAATCAGTTTTAACACTCCTCATCTTACGCCAAGATTGATTTGAAATGGTCCTTATAGTTCTTTCATATTTCTATTTATTATAAAATTTAACAGCAACTGCTATGTTTCAAGTAATTCCAATAAATTTTTACTTTCTGAAATTTTTTCACTGCAGATTACGAATGGCTTTTTTAATAACACAATTTACCTTTCTCTGGTAAGTCACCTAATAAGATGTACATGTCGTTTCAGTATATTTAGTTTTACTTCGGCTTATTCTCTGGAGTAAGTGAAATTATGGAACAACTGGGGTTAGTGACGAACGTAAAGGTTCTTATCTAATTGATACTATCAAATCTTTTTTTTTTCAGAAAAAGCTAGAAAGTTTGTGTAGCGTCTTTTTGTCTTTTTTCACGCACGTAACTTTTTACTTAATTCTTTTGAGTTTCTACCGTCCGATTCAGATAATATCCTTTGAAAATCGCTTGCAAACTTGCTACTTACTGCTTATTTTATACTTTTTACCTTCTCACATTCTCTCAGAACAGGATATAAAAATAAAGAATAATCTTTAATTTTTTTATATTTAGAGTGGCTGACAAAGGCTGATAAACTGTAAGTTCCTCTCATATTTGTTGTAAATTCTTTAAAGGATTGTCCATTAAAAATACTGACAGGTTTTTAACACAATACAGCCTATTTTAAATTGAAATTTATTTTTGACTGTTCTCTAGTATTACAATTATAAAACTAGTTTGTCATTTAATGTTCAAGTTAATCAATGGTTTTCATGTTAAATATCCGTACAAATCTTGTTAAAATATTCTACACTCTCTCCCACGTCAAGTTGAGAACCGCTTTGCTTTACTTCTAGGCTAATGTTAAGTTGCTTAAGTGACTAAAATGATTTTAAGACTTTGTAATTCAGGCAGTTGTGCTAAAAGGTTTTTCATGATCTATTACTAAAGTTCGCGAAGACAATGTTTTTGCTCCTGCAGCGTTTTACTTTTACACCTCTGACCTACCATGTGCTTATCTTGAAAAAACATAATCAAGTCTTCTGCTGATAACTGCAAACTTTATAAAGTTTGTAATTTTAGAAACATTTTCTGATTTAAAATAACTTACAATATCACAGTTGAACTTTCATCTAACAATTAACTTAAAATCAAAAAAACTTTTTTGAACTAAACCAATTAGACCTGTTAACTGCACTAACCCACTTCTACTCAAATACGCCATTTAAGATTTTACACTGCTTGCTAGCATCTTTAATTGCTAGTGTTCTCACTAGTTTATAAAACAGTTAAAACCACTAGTTTATTTTTTTGGTTTCTTGTCAGCTGCAAACTAATTTAATGTTAAAACTACACGAAAAATTTATTTTGGCTTCAATAGATACTCGTCTGCTTTACAGAATGAAGCTTACTAATTTGCTTAAATTTGTTTAGAAGCACTTTGCTAAAGTTTTACAGATGGAAACTGAGCTATCAAAAACGCTTAAAGGTCTTGCGATTAAAAAAGAATATATTGAAAGCGTTTCTTATGATGATACAAAAATTTTTGACTTTATCAAAGTATCTAGCATTTTTCCACCTCATAATTAGCAAACATATGATTCCCCTGTACAAAAATTGCAAATTTGCACAGAACTTCTCTTCAAGAATTCTGAAGACGTTAAAAATTTGAAAGAACACTTTGTTTTTAAATATTTTTACTTAAATCAACGACATTTTAAAACTTTGCAATGTAAAGTTTACCTAAACAGCCAGTTTGAAAATTGTCAACCCTTGTTCATATTTTAAGATTTTTGTCAACATAATTTTACTAAACGATATATTTTTTCTTACTCATCTACTTTTCTTGTTTACCTGTTTCCTATCTTTTGAAAAAATTGTGCTGCATACTGTAGTTCACTTTAGAAGTCTAGTTTTTAATAAATATAATGAATAAATATATACGACTAAAAATATTGCGTGCAGTGAAAAACTTAGTTGCCTTTTTTAAACGGCTTGAATTATTCAAAATTACAGTCTTCTTTTAAAGAAAGACTAAATTTAACTGAGCTTCAAAAAATAGCTTTTTTCTTTGTTTTTATTTAGTGATTTTTCTAATTGTTTTACTTTTCAATGCCTCATTGTTACTTTTTTTATTTCTTGTTAAAAGTAAAGAAAACATTGCCTCTTAACCTCTTCTTGATCTAAAACAAGTCCAATATAAAATCGAATGAAAGTAAGCTGAAACACTTCAAAATTTTTTACCTCTTCGTGTCTTCGCCTCTTTTGCTCATTTTTTCCAATTTTTAATAGATTGCCATATCCAGAAAATATATCGGAATCTTTCCTTAAAGACTTCATCTTTTTATTGACTAGTGGTTTTCAAATTAGGCAAAAATTAGATAATTCCAGCGTCGTTCCTCTGTGCTGGGTTTTTAGCTGGGTAATAAATTATTTTTGAATTGTTTAAAAGAAAGTCTATTTGAATAAATTTTTTTTACGGACTAGCAGCTTCACCTGTACGTCATTGTTATATTAAAAAAGTCGTTTGGAATCGCTTTTTTTTTCCTATTTGACGTCAATCTTAGAGCAGCACCTGTGTGGTGAGGAGACTCTTTGAGGTAAAACACATAAAACTGATTTTGCGATCGAGTTGCTGGCAAATCAGACAAATTTAAGTCACGAATGTGAAAAACAACAGCATTAGCATCTTGTAGGTACCTGAACTCAAAACAGGCAATTTTAGTAAGGGTGGTAATGACATTTGCGAAGAACAAAGACTAGAACTCCGCACTGTGGCAACTATAAATTAGAATGCTTCAAAACTAACTTTCTATCTGCCGTTATGTGACAGTGGTAGGGACATTGGTACAATGTTGCTTTGAAGCGCGAAGATAATGAAGCATCGAAAAAGGTTGTCCAAGCCAAAATTGTCGGAGTTTTCTATAAATATGATTTAAAAAATCAGGTAGTGGAAAGACATAACTCATCGCTGACGGGGAAGAACGACACTTTTGCACTTTGACGGCCTCAGCGTGCTGATTGGTTAATTGCGTTTTGGTGGGAAAGTTGATGGAGAAGACAATGAAGAAGGCGTAAGCGAGGAAAAAGGCGTAACGGCGGCGGCGCTGCAGGGCTGAGGCATAGCTTCTATGCTTGTTTTATGTATGTCTTAAAACGCTTACATGCTAAATGCGGCATGATGCAGTGGCACGCAGCTGCTTTTAGCGATTTCACTTCCGGTTTCGACTGCGACAACTGTGCAATGTGGTTCTTCATAGCGAAACCTTCTGCACGGTTTTGAGACAGTATCAGTTGACCGCGTAACGACAGTCCCCGCTTTATTGATCTTGAGATCGGTGCTTACACAAGCACTCTTGAGTCTCCATGACAAAGGCACAAACAGGGGGATGAATCAATGTATGGGACGGGGAGGGCACTTTTACAATCGTATATGAATGATTTTGTATGGAAAACAGTATGTGGGGACAACGCTTTGTAACAGCTTTTGTTACGAACTGCGGAGCACTGTATTGGAGTGAGGACCTTTTATTGGCTCCTGATCAATCAGCAGGCGGTCATCCAATTTTTTAAATGCCGTTCGTTTAAGGGCGGCTTATCAAGATTTTCTCTCTGGTCTCAAGAATAAAACAGATTTTCTAAAATGTGCAAAAGACGCGCAAAAAATACTTTGACTACTGCGGACACGAACCACTAACATCTAACTGAGAACGCGCATCGCGCACCACTACACAATGCACCGCCAGATTGAGTTGCGCCTGATCAATCCATCCGCGCTCTTGTTGCTATAAGTGATAAAACTAGTCCATAGTTTCTCATTACTACCTTCATGGATAATCAAACACTTGTTGCGTAACTGACGCGGCCTCATCGTGTCGGCTGTCTTATACTGCTGTTCCGTACTTCTTACCAACGCCTTTGCCTTCATATCCTTACAAAAGGTCAAACCCCTTTATAATGTCTTACTGTTATTTATGAACCTCCAACTGCACAGCACAATTTCTCTTCGGGAGAAAGGGATTTTGCACTCCCCCGGTCCAAACTGACGCGATCGACATTCCTCCTCAGTCTCTTCAAGCTGTGACGATAGCGACGTCGTGACGGGGAGAGGCCTTGAGAGAGGCCCCTCTGTAAATATATGTGGGGCCGTCAAAGTGCAAGAGACGTTGGTTTCGTCTGTCAATTTTTTTAACCAAGGATTAAATGAGTTGCCTAAAGTTTTACTGTTAATCAGGTCACAAACTCTGAAATAAATGAGTAAGAATCAACTCAATCAATGTTTCCAATTTACTTTTTGAATTTTGAAAATAAAATCATTTTTTTACTCTCTATCAGTTGAGGTAATGTTTCTCAACAGGTCGCCGATAGCATCTTCTTAATCGCGGGTGTAATAACATAAAATTCATTCCTCAGAAGTTTATTAAATATTGATTTCTGATTTAATACTGTCTTACAAGCATTGAAAAACTAGGAAAAAAACTGAAGAATTGCATTTGTCACAAGAGAGTGACGTAGCTTTTGTATGACAGAGAAGTGGCACTACAAGCTGGTATTTAGAGGCAGTTTTTCTTTAAAAAACGTCTTTCTGAAATGCCATTGACCTATTTATATAACTTATTTGTCACGTCTTCTAAGTTATTTTTTAAGAAAGTATCATATTCTGCTACTGAAGAAAACATCATTTTTCTTAAGAACGAAGCATCTTTAACAAGCAAACAAGGATTAATGTACTCACATTCGTAGAAGTCGTAGGTATAAGATATGAGAGTGAGAATAATGGCCGGAGTTTTACTTGTAAGTACAGCAAAAGCACTGCAAAAAATCCAACTACTGACAAACAAAGAAAAATCCTGTGATTATCGAAAACCATAAGATCTAAAAAATACAGGAAAGCAATGAAAAGGCAAAAATTAAGCAAATGTTAAGAAATGAAATTTAACGCCACTTAATGGTCTTCGCCTGAATCTTGATTCAACTTTTTATTTATAATTAACCCAGTAAAAAGTTTAAAGCCATTACACGCAACTGCACTGTAAAAAAACTCAATTTGTCTGAAAGTTACTTATAGTAATCCTGGAGAAACGTAAAAAATGTTTTCTTCTGGAGAAAGTTAATTATTTTTTGTCTAAGAGAATAAGTATTTTAGTGTTTTGAAAAAAATAGTTTTCAAAGAAAAACAAAAACGAAGAATTTTTGTTTTTTGTTTCCACTTTATGATTTACACAGATTGCATGAGTAATGCCGCTTTACGTCCTTTTCCTCTTTTCTGATATATTCACATATGTAAATATAAATATAAATATAAATATAAATA